GGCCCGCAGATCATGTTGGTAATCCGAGCGGGTCATCGGAATCCTGTAACTGTCGTCAATTTGGGCTCCTCAAGCCTGAATATGGAGGAAGTCTCAGGCGGGAGCCTCGTCTGTGAGTGAACTGCGAGGAAGTCTCAGGCGGGAGCCCCCTCCCTATGGGGCCCGCAGATCATGTTGGTAATCCGAGCGGGTCATCCAAAACCTGTAACTGTCGTCAATTTTGGGTTCTCGCGCTGCCAGAACGCAGCTCCCAGGCCACATTTTGGACGCAACAAGGAAGTTTTTGGGCTCCTCAGGCCTGAATTTGGAGGAAGTCTCAGGCGGGAGCCTCGTCTCTGAGTGAATTGCGAGGAGCCAACTGTAGGCCACTTCGTGTTCGTCGTGTTCCCAGAACGCTATTCCCGGCACGCATCCACTGGGACGCACCCCTGTGCGCTTCCTCTGGGTCGTGCCCCCGCACGTATCCACTGGGACGCACCCTTGTGCGCTTCCTCTGGGTCGTGCCCCTGGCACGTATCCACTGGGACGCACCCCTGTGCGCTTCCTCTGGGTCGTGCTCCGGCACGTATCCACTGGGACGCACTCCCGTGCGTTTCCTCTGGGTCGTGCCCCGGCACGTATCCACTGGGACGCACTCCCGTGCGCTTCCTCTGGGTCGTGCCCCCGCACGTATCCACTGGGACGCACTCTTGTGCGCTTCCTCTGGGTCGTGGCCCGGCACGTATCCACTGGGACGCACCCCTGTGCGCTTCCTCTGGGTCGTGCCCCCGCACGTATCCACTGGGACGCACCCTGTGCGTTTCCTCTGGGTCGTGTTCGGCACGTATCCACTGGGACGCACCCCTGTGCGCTTCCTCTGGGTCGTGCCCCCGCACGTATCCACTGGGACGCACTCCTGTGCGCTTCCTCTGGGTCGTGTTCCGGCACGTATCCACTGGGACGCACTCTGTGCGCTTCCTCTGGGTCGTGTTTTGGCACGTATCCACTGGGACGCACTCCCGTGCGCGTCCTCTGGGTCGTGCTCTGGCACGTATCCACTGGGACGCACTCCCGTGCGCTTCCTCTGGGTCGTGCTCCGGCACGTATCCATTGGGACGCTTCACAGTTCGATCTACATTCGTGCTTTTGAAGCAGGAAACTATGCCCTTTTTTCCCCACATCCAAAGTGGGGTTCTTGTTTTCTCTGGACACCCCGCGCAGGAACAGGAACACACACACACACACACACTCACACTCACTCACACTCTCTCATCATCAACCTCATCAGCATCATCGATGATGCTCTCTCACATGCTTAGTCACTCACATACTCATCATCATCATCATCATCACTCGCACTCTCTCACACGCTCATGAACATCATCATCATCATCATCATCATCATCGGCATCATCCTCATTCAAACATCATCATCGCCACCACCACTCACAATCAATCATCATCCTCTTCACCACTCATCTTCACCACCACTCATCATCCTCATCCTCATCATCGTTGAGTAAATTGTGAGGAAGTCTCAGGCGGGAGCCCCCTCCCTATGGGGCCCGCAGATCATGTTGGTAATCCGAGCGGGTCATCGGAATCCTGTAACTGTCGTCACTTTTGAGCTCCCCAGGCCTGAAAATGGAGGAAGTCTCAGGCGGGAGCCTCGTCTGTGAGTGAATTGGGAGGAAGTCTCAGGCGGGAGCTCCCTCCCTATGGGGCCCGCAGATCATGTTGGTAATCCGAGCGGGTCATCGGAACCCTGTAACTGTCGTCACTTTTGGGCTCCTCAAGCCTGAATTTGGAGGAAGTCTCAGGCGGGAGCCTCGTCTGTGAGTGAATTGTGAGGAAGTCTCAGGCGGGAGCCCCCTCCCTATGGGGCCCGCAGATCATGTTGGTAATCCGAGCGGGTCATCGGAATCCTGTAACTGTCGTCACTTTTGAGCTCCCCAGGCCTGAAAATGGAGGAAGTCTCAGGCGGGAGCCTCGTCTGTGAGTGAATTGGGAGGAAGTCTCAGGCGGGAGCTCCCTCCCTATGGGGCCCGCAGATCATGTTGGTAATCCGAGCGGGTCATCGGAACCCTGTAACTGTCGTCACTTTTGGGCTCCTCAAGCCTGAAATGGAGGAAGTCTCAGGCGGGAGCCTCGTCTGTGAGTGAATTCTGAGGAAGGCTCAGGCGGGAGCCCCCTCCCTATGGGGCCCGCAGATCATGTTGGTAATCCGAGCGGGTCATCGGAACCTTGTAACTGTCGTCACTTTTGGGCTCGTCAAGCCTGAATTTGGAGGAAGTCTCAGGCGGGAGCCTCGTCTCTGAGTGAATTGTGAGGAAGTCTCAGGCGGGAGCTCCCTCCCTATGGGGCCCGCAGATCATGTTGGTAATCCGAGCGGGTCATCGGAACCCTGTAACTGTCGTCACTTTTGGGCTCCTCAAGCCTGAATATGGAGGAAGTCTCAGGCGGTTTTGTCCAGGGCGGAGGCGAAGCAGCTCGCGGCAGAGCTGGGCTTCGTGCTGCCTTCCGCCTGAGCGCGGCTGCGCCTCGCTCGAAGCCCGCGGGGTTGTCCCAACGGCTTGGTCTTGCGCGCCAACGGCTCGCGGGGTTGTCCCGACAGCCTGGCCCGCGGGGTTGTCCCAACGGCTGCGCGACGTGACCAGTAGAGAACGCGCCTGTGCTGGCCGTGGCGGCGACGGCGCCGAGGAACATCGACATGCGCGCTCATGCAACAGGAAGGGGAGGAGGTGGCGGGGCGCGGAACAAACAGGGGGGCGAGGATGGGGACAACGTAAGGAGTGGAAGGGGGGCCCGCGCCAAGGCGACAGGAAATATACGCAGAAGAGACAGCCAGGACGCCTCACCAACCACGAGGACGACGGTGATGGTTTTTTCCAGATTCGCCCAGAGGATTCTTATGTGGGGTTCTTCCGTCGGAGTAATTTGTTCCCCTCCTGAAAGGGGACGCATTCATCATCATCTGGGACCGCCGGGTACAGCGGAGGCAAGTCCACGAGAAACCTTCTACAAGAGACCCAACCCTGAGACCCCATGACGTCCATCGATTTTGGGTATGGGAACTGCCACGCTTTCCACAGCAGAGCCATCGAAACTCAAGAAACACAGGGCACCCTGGAAGCAAGCAGGGTGTTTCTTGGCATGGGCCTCCACTGTAACAGGGAAGCGGGTAGCAGGGCAGTGTCGTAGCACATCTTGCGGCTCGAGAGGTTTGCCTAGCTTGGGTTTAGACTCGAGCGCTCAAGCGCAAGAGGATGGGCGCAGGTGCATCGGCTTGAGCTAGGCATTTGACGGTAGGCTGGAAGATCGGCGCGCTGCAGCGACGGAGTGAAACCTTCATCATCACCACCACCACCACCACCACCGCCATCGCCACCACCACATCCTCCTCCTCCTCCTCATCATCATCATCATCATCCTCCTCCTGGTAGCTCCTCCTCCTCCTCCTCCTCCTCCTCCTCCTCCTCCTCCTCCTCCTCCTCCTCCTCCTCCTCCTTCCTCCTCCTCCTCCTCTCCTCCTCCTCCTCCTCCTCCTCCTCCTCCTCCTCCTGGTAGCTCCTCCTCCTCCTCCTCCTCCTCCTCCTCCTGCTCATCGGGCTCACCCTCCTCCCGCCAGCTACTTCGACGGGGAGGGCGGAGGGCGTCCGTGACGGGCACACCAGTGGCAGCAGGGCCTGGCCTCAGCCCGCCGTGCCGAGCCCCCCGCCGACGGCCGCGCAGGCGGCCCAGCCCCGGGGCATGAGCGTGACGAACGAGCAACACACACCCATACCCATAGGGGGGTCGTTGGGAGGAGGACTGGCTATGGGTATGGGTGCGGGTTGTCGGACCCTGGGGAACGCTCCCGTTCGAGCGGGGACCCCCATCCGACAACACGCACCCATAGCCCTCTCCGACCCCCCATATGGGTATGGGTGTGTGTTGTTGGTTCGTCAGAGCGGTGGTGCGTTCCAGCCTGGTTCGCCCGCCAGCGCCACGGGAGCGCTGCCCGCTTCACAGAGCCACCGACACGTCGAGGTGCACGGGCGCGCCTCCCTCCCCTGGGGTGCGTGGGGTCCTCGGGCTGAGCTGCCTCCCGTGCAGGACACCGCCCGAAGAATCTTCGCCCCGACAGGCAAATGTCGCACTCGAGGGCCATCACCAGCAGTACACCCGCGACCACCTCGTCGCCGCTGCCCTGTCTGACCGCCATTTCTCGCTTCGCGGTGTCCGACGCGCTGCCGTCGCGGCCACTGCTGCGGCAGTGGGAACGCTTCGATCGGTATCCGCCCCAGGAGTGCGCAGCGCTGCCATTGACGGGCAGCCGCCAGTGAACGCCTCGCTGTCGCCGCAGCGCACGTGCAGCTGGAACTCCGCGCCTCGCCGAAGCTGGGGAGGTCACCGAGGATGTAGAGGGAGTAGTTCTAGAATGGACTTCGATTGGCTGGGAGAAGACAGGCGTGCCTGGAACTGAAGCCGAAATCCGCGCATCATGACCGCACGCCGCACAAGTTTCCTGAACCTGACATCGTTCCCAGCCTTGCTGAAAAAAACACTGACCTTCACGATCTCGCCGCCTTCGAAAAAACAAGCGGGTCCTCGCCGCGACATCACGGGAACCGCTTGGGGATCTGGTGGGTGAGGGACATTCCCCCGCCTCTCAACTGTGTAAGCTTGGCAAGGAGTGTCTTGGCGCCCGTCGGATGACCCCCAATCGTGCGGAGTATCTCGACAGGATCAGCCGAGGTTTGTGGCCGAAGGTGCTGAGCACCACCAAGAAGAGGGCTCGAGGCCGCCAATGATTCATGCAGTCATGCCACACTGTGCTCATACGCGTCATGTTGGCTTGTTGACTCTGCCATGTGGTCATACTCCTGCCCATATTCGTGCCCACACTCACACTCACTCTCACACTCACACTCATACTCATACTCATACTGGTCCTCCACCTTTTCTTGATCCTCCCTTCCCGCACGTCTGCAACAATGTGGCACTGCCCTCCCTGCACACGTGTTCCAGTACCCGGCTGCCTCGACCCCAGCCTGCGCTGCACTGCTCCCAAGCTGGGCGAACGTCAGCACCGAAGCAACCACGGCGACTGCTGTCATAGGCGCTGGCATCGCTGCAGCGCGTCCAACTGCAACAGGACCAAGGCCTGTCGTCGCTTGCACATGGGAGCGCAGGAAAAAGCCACACGTCAACCCAAGCATCAACTCCTCCTGCTTTTGTAGGTGCGCGAGAGCCTCACCTGCACGCCTCATTATGATCGGCACTTGCTCGGAAGAGGGAGTCCAGGCTGTCGGGGGGCGTCCAAGGGGGGAGCGTACAAGATGGGAATTTCGCAAATCATGGCCCGAGGCATGTGCGTGGATGAGGGGGGGCCAGGGACGTACTGAAAGAAGAGGAGGGGCCATGAGATCTAGGGAGACATCCTGGCCCCCGCCATGACATCCCCCCCTCCCTAATCATATCGTCACCCCCCTCTTGGACGCTCCCGAGCTGGGATGCTGGTCAGGCTTTGGTCATGCTTCACCCGTGCACCGGGAAAGAGCAGCACAGGAAGCAGAAGTGAGAAGGAGGACACGAGCGGACGAGGCTCGCGTCCTCCTTCTCACTGCTGCCTCTTCTGGAGGAGGAGGAGGAGGAGGAGGAAGAAGAAGAAGAAGAAGAGGGATAGGAAGGAGGAGGAGGAGGAGGACGGAAGGAAGGAAGGAAGGAAGGAAGGAAGGAAGGAAGGAAGGGAGGAGGGAGGAGGGAGGAGGAGGAGGAGGAGGAGGAGGAGGAGGAGGAGGAGGAGGAGAGGAGGGAGGAAGGAAAAACACTACAGCTCCGCTGCTTAAGTTTGCCCAATGTTGAAAAGGGAGGAGGGAAGGTAGGAGGAGGAGGAGGAGGAGGAGGAGGAGGAGGAGGAGGAGGAGGAGGGGAGGCAGTGAGAACGAGAAGGATGGGAGAGGAAGGAAGGGACAGGTGGAGAGGTGAGCCAAGCTGTCTGTGGCGACTCGCGGCGACTGCCCGGTTCAACATGAGGCGCTCCACAGTCCGCCCAGCTCCGCCTGCCTGGGGCGAAACGGCGATAGAGAAATTTGTATAAGAACGAACTATATAACCCCAGGAAGCATTCAAGAAACCCCCCGGCGATATCGTAGCACCGCATTTTTTATTCGATATTCCGAGGGGCCGAAATAACCGAACGATAGCTTTAGCATCCGGACGACACAAGGTACGCTTCCTGGTGCCAGGTAACGCTTCCAGGGTGCGGAAGGGTTATCGATTTGCCGGAGGGGGGGGGGGTTCTTAAATGCTTGCTGGGGTTACACCCACGCTTTTTTCCGACCCTGCGCTGAAATTCGCATAGGAACGCGGATCCTGGTGTATACGGGACCCTGGTGTATGCATGTTTCGTTGTTTCCCTTGGAAAACGGGGGAAACGTATACAGCACACCACCCCGACGTCGTCCCCGACCCTCAAAAAAAGTCCTGGGATCGAAAAACCGCCCGCCACTGGTAATGTATATGCTCTAGTTTCCGAATTTGGCCTTCCCCCTCCCCCCATGCTTCTCCCTCCCCCAGGGTCCAAAATCCAGTTAGGGGGGCCCTCCTTCTCCCTTGGAGGGGAGGGGCGCAATCTCCTCAAGGCATTGTCTGGACCCTCAGGGCCTCCAAATCCACCCTCCGACACTGACACTCAAGATGCCCTCCAAGACGCCGCAGGAGAGCTCTGGCATGCCCAAGTGGCTTCAAAAGAGAGTTCAAGAGACCCTGAGAGACTCCCAGGAAGCCCAGAGAGGTCCCAGAGAGGGAGCCCAAAATCCAGACTCACTAAAAAGAACAGGAAGGCTTGGGCGGTTTAGGCACGAGCCCCTACTCAACCAAGACCATGTCAAGTCAACATGAGTCGCAGAGGTCCACAAGGGCGTACCTCGGGGATGTCCCACGATTGTCCCGTGGCTGTCTCGTGTGTGTCCCGTGGCGTGCCTGGGGTTGTCCCGCTGTTGTGCTACACGCGGCAATCTAGTGGTTGTCCCGTGGTTGTTCCGCGGCTGTCCCGCGGATGTCCAATGGCTGCCCCATGGCGTCCCCAATCAACGCCACCACCAAAGACTTCACTGCATGGCGCAGAATACCACCTGACAAGCTGGGAATACCGCATAAGACTACGGCAAGAGCACACGCGCGAAAGGAGGAAATATAAAAATCAGGTTGCCCCGCCTGGTTGTCCCGTGGTTGTCGTGCGGTTGTCCCGTCTGGATATCGGGGCCGACAAAGATGAAGGTAACGAGGCCGTAGATAGAGAGACCGATTGATACATTGATCGCAAGATCAACTGTGCAATTGAAAGTGAGAACGATAAACGGTGAACTCGGTCGACCAACTCGATCGACCAACTGAACTCGCTCGACCAAGTGATCGACCGAAAAACAGCCATGCGACGGTATGCGGAGCGCAGAGTCTCGCGCTTCCAGTGGTCTTCAAGCGTCGGTCTACTTCATGTCTTGTGTGGCAGCTGGGTGGCCACAATGCTCGATTGTTTCCTTACTCCTTCGGCGAGTGCGTCATCGGAGCCTGCTTCAACGTGAAGTGTTCCATCGCGGGTGTCGTCATCGTGGAGCCATTGTGTGTCTTCGTGCAGTGCGTCCTCGTGGCGTGCGTCTCGGCGCGCTTCATCGTAGAGGGCTCCACCGCGGACGTTGCTCTGTTGAGGCTCGATGGTCTTATTGCAGTGCCTCGTCGTGGAATGCTTCATTGTTGCGGCTGCATTCGTTGCGGGCTTCGTCACGGAGGCCGTATTCTAGGTTGGGCATGTCCCGCTACAGGCAGATTTTGGAGGAAAAATAAAACTAGTCAAAAATATGCAAACATTGTCAAAAAGTAAACGAAAAATCGTCCAACGACTATTTTCTTACTATTTTTGAATATTCCTCCTGTAGAGGGACATGCCCGACTTAACCGTATTCTTGACCTCGTCATCGTAACGTGTAACGTGCTTCGGTTGGGGTCCTTCTTCATGAAGCGTTCCACCCCGGAGTGCTTCATCTCAGGGTGCCCCGTTGCCGAGGCTGTCCTCGTAGAGGACTTCATCTTTCTCCTCCTCCTCCTCCTCCTCCTCCTCGGGAGCGCTCCTTCCGGGCTTCATCTCGGCGGTGGTTTCTCGTTGGTTCGATGTCACGGGGATAGTCGTCTTGGAGTTGGTCGGCGCGGCGTGCTCTAACGAAGAATACTTGTTCGTGGGATGTTTCATCGCGGAGTGCTTCATTCTGGAAGGCGTCGTCGCGAGAGTCGCCCTCTTGGAGCGCTCCATCCACTCGGAGTGCTTCGTCGTGGAGTGCCTCATCGTCGTCGTCATCTTCTGTGAGTGCTTCATTGCAGAGGCCGTCATCTTTATCTTAGGGGACTTCAATGTACTGTGTTTCGTTGAGGGCGCTTCATCGGGGAGTGTCATCGTTTGGAGGGCATCGTGGCAGAGTGCATAATCGAAGAGCTTGTCTGCGAAGAGGACTTCACGATGGAGAGATTCATCAGCGGAGAGTGCTCTATCCGGGAGTGCGTGTGGATTAGTTCATCGCGGAGGCGGCTATCGCGGAGTGCTACATCGAGAGTGCATGTGGAGTGTCTCATCGTGCTCCCACCTTTCAGGGCGATGTGTTTCTGCGGGCATCATATTCGTCCATGCCTCTGGTCCTGTTTGCGCCAGTGCAGTTCGCGAGTGTATCGTCCAAGCCGATCAGACACAGGCGGCGGGGTACAGCACTCCATGTTGGTCGAGCTAGGGATAGCGCTCGGCTCTGCAAGCCGTGCGTCGTGCTTCCTCCTCAGAGCCAAGTCTTGTAGCATCTTGATTCTGTGCTGCGGGAAACGCCACCAGTAATCGTCATTATCACCCTCATAGTCATTATCATCCTCATCATCAGCATCATCAGCATAAACCTCAGCAACAACAACAAGAGCAACAGCAACAACAACAACCAAAACAACAACAGTAACAACAGTAATAACAACAATGACGACGACAACGCCAACAACAGCGGCGGCAACAATGACAACCACTGCAACGGCAACGGCAACAGCAACGACGGCGACGACGACGACAACAACAGCAACAGCCACAGCAACAACAATCACATCATCTGCATAATCATCTACCACATCAGCATCATCATCATCAGCAGCAGCATCAATATCATCATCACCACCACCATCATCATCATTATCATCACCACCACCATCATCATCACCACCATCATGCGCAGCATGATCATCATCATCATCATCATCGTCAGCATCGTCATAATCACCATCATGTTCGTCATCATCGTCATCATCGTCATCAGTAGCATCATCATCATCACCATCACCTCATCACCATCATCATCATCATCATCATCATCATCATCATCATCATCATCATCATCATCATCACCAGTGTCATCATCAACCTCATCATCATCAGCAACATCGTCATCATCATCACTATCATCACCGTCCTCATCACGCCTGTTCAAACTCTGGAGACACGAGGTGCTACACGTGACGGCGTCCGTGCCATCTCGAACCGTCGCCACCCAGAATACTGGGCTGGCACGGTGGTGCGGCTTGCTGCAGGCAGCTGGGCAGATGTATAGATAGCGAGGCCGATGAAAGCAGAGAGAGAGAGAGAGAGAAATAAAGAACATTATAGTGGTATTGATCGGAGATATATAACGAGACCGATAGATAGTCAGACCAATGTGCTTACATAAAGAGATAAATACGGAGAGAGGGAGGGATGCATGGGAGATCGAGTTGGTCGATAGAGAAGGCAATAGATCGCGAGATCGACCGATAGATTGATAGAGAGATCGGTATAATGAGAATGAAACGGGTAGACATTCAGATCGGTGTCCCGTGATTGTTCCGTGGCTGTTTCGTGGTTGACCAGTGGCTGTCCCGTGGTTGTCCCGTGGTTGTCCCGTCGTTGACCCGTGCTTGTCCCGTTGTTGTCCCGTGGCTGTCAGATGGTTGTCCTGCGGTTGTGCCGTTCGAAAATAAAAGAATAGATAGCAAGGCCCGTGCTTCCCTGGTGGTTGACCGGTCATTCACATGGTTGTCCCAGGATTGTCCCGTGGCTGTCCCGCGGCTATACCGTAGTTCTCCAGTGGCTGACCGTGTTGATCCCGCCAGCGTCCCATGGTTACAACTCGGCTGTCCCGTCTATAAATGGATCACCAGTGAGACCCATGGACAGGTAGTGATGAGTACATTGCTGCAAAATATGCTAAGAGGAAGCAATGCTGAAAAATTCAAGCCTGAGGCAGACCGCGTCTGATTGAAGGGGTGAGGAAAAGGGAGTCGGGGTAATCCTCGGCGTACGAGCCAGGCAGCAGATGCTCCAACGCATTCCGAGCGCAGTCGTGCCACCTCTGTCGTGGACGACGGGCCGCCAGTCTCGTATCCGTCCGGCCCGCATGGACGCTATAGCTGCGCTCTCCTCTTGAAGACACTGCTCGCCCTGGAAATGTAGTAGTCGTGCTGCCCAGGATCGGTGGAATCGGTTGATCTTTAGTGAGATCGAAAACTAGGAAGGTCAGTAGATATCGACGTCGCAAGATAGATCGATCACGAATCCGATCCGAACTCAATAACACACAGAGGGCTGTACCCATCAACCCCCCAACAAAAATCCGTATAGCCCGAAAAGTGGTCGTTAGGTAGAAGCCCCAATGACGCTTACAATCTCGCCTTATCGCTTCTGGACGCCTCTGAAAAGATCCAAGAGGCCCCCAAGAGGCCCTCTGACAGCCCCAAATGCCTCCAGAATGGCTTCAGGACCGTGCGGCTCCTGGCTGGCTTCCAAGACGGCCTCCAAATAGGTCCAACACAGCCCAATAACCCTTCAAAACAACGCCGAAACTCCCGAAGGCACGCGAAGATGGCCCCTCAAATGCCCCTCGGAGCCCCAAGATAGCCCCGAGATGGCCCCAAGCGGAGAGCGGAGAGTGAGAGAATCGGAGGGGAGGGATGAGAAATCAAAGGGACGGGGGGAACAGTTCCCACACGACAGCGCACACCCACGGCACGATCAGGCCAGGGCGATCCAGGTCGCCTCCTTGCCTGCGGCCACCCAGCCCATCGCCGAGGGCGCGGCCCCGGGCGCGACCCTTGCTCTCACGATGGCAGCTCGGGGGCGGAAGGGTCGGGGTGGACACAAGCCGACCAGAAGACGCATGGACGCCAGCGCGCTTCTGGCCGCGACCTCCTCGGACGAGCGCCACCCACGCCCCCTACCGAGCGCTGCACTCCGCACGGGGGGGGGGGGGGGGGGGGCGATTCCATGCTCGATCGATGCTGATGCGCCCAGGAATCACAGCTACTCCCCACACGAGTCCAAGCGCCATCGGCCATAGCGGCTCTGTGCCATGCACGCGGCAACGATCGAGGAAGCTGCGGCTGGTGAGGCTGCTACTGCAACCTCTGTCATTGACACTTTTCTCAGCAGCCGCAGTAGTAACACCGAATGTGACCCAAGTGCATACATCAGCGATGGCATGGGAATTGACGCAAACATGCCAACAATCGTTCGCAAGCGTAGTAGCTGTAGTTGTACGAGCATACGTAGACGTGGACTGTCGCCGACGTAAACGTTTCAGTCGAACTCTGCACACATGCGCACGCCGACCATCCATTTGCCTGCGGTGGTGAAACATCTGAGACTTCTGGCGGTCCCCATCTCTCCATCCCCCTCGAAGAGCCGTAAATTCCGTTTCGAGAAAGAGGTGAGACTGGCTCGACGAGTTCGTTCGCGCACCTCCCAGGCCCCCAAATGGCCCACTGGCTCCTCGACACCCCGAAGATGACCCAAGGTGGTCTCAATGTGAACACATGTGAAGCAAGATGGCCTCCGTGGCCGCTCATAAACTTCGAGCACAGGCCTGGATGGCTCCGCGATCACGAAAATTGCCACGAAATAGCCCCACGATGCCCGCAAAGTCTCCCAGGAAAGCCTCAAACAGGCCAACATTTATTCATACATAGTCCAACGCGTTCGTTGCTTATTCAAAACTACCCCATAAGTTCGCCGTACAAAGTACAACAATGACGCCCCCAAGAGAGCAAAGAAACGCTTTATGATAGCTGAGGGAAGGCCCCAACAGGTTTGCGGAAAGCGCCCCATCCCCATGAAGCCAATAATGGTTCACAAACAGAAGCATAATACTGCGGCCACGAACAGCCCCGTGAGGACACTAACAGTGTTCAAAAGTGCCTCACAAAAAAGTCCAAAACATTTTGGTTTCCTCAGTACTCGAACGTATGCGCGTTGTGGCCATACCCTACGAAGCAGTTTTCTTCCCCAAACAGTGTTTGCACTTAGGGGCCCCTGCTTACGCAACGAAAACTGGGTCTGGCGAGAATCTTCCACATTGCCGCATGTGCCCGCCTCGTGGCCGTCTCGTGCGCTGGTTGGGTGGTCCACGCTGCCGCCCATGGCCGTCTCGCGGCCGCTTCGTGCGCGGGGTGGGTCCGGCCAACTATCTCCACGGCGCCGCCCGCGGCGGCCTCGTGACCGCTTCGTGCGCGGGGCGAGTCCGGCGAAGTTTCGCCACGGTGACGCCCGCGGCGGCCTCGTGGCCGCTATGTGCGCACGGTGGGTCCAGCAAAGATTCGCCAGGTTCCCGCCCGTGGCCGCCTCGTGGCCGCCTCGCGCGCCGGGTCCGGCGAAGTCTCGCCAGGTTGCCGCCCGCGGCGCCCTCGTGGCCGCCTCGTGCGCTGGGTGGGTCCGGCGAGGTTTGCGGCGAGACCGCGACGCGTGCAGAGTTGCCGAGGAACGCCTCGCGTGGTTCTGGGGGGCCCAGGTGGGACGCGCTGCGAATACCTGTCCAGCACAGGCGAAAGATCCCAGCGTCGGCCGCCAAGAACAACGCCAAGCAAGGGGCGGCGCGGGCCCACGCCCGTGCAGCAGCTGGAAAGGAAGTGCGCGCACTGCGGGCCACACTGCCAACAGACTGGCATCCCGCGACCCCAAGACTTTGGAGAATGTCTAGGCGCGCTTCCCCGCGGCGGCGCAGCCCGCGCCTGCGCCAGAGGGCACCCCGCAACCTCCACCAGATCGTCAAGAGCGTCCAGGCGGTGACGGCGCGCCTGCCGCGGAGACCGCCCTGCCTCACGGCGCCCCGGCTGCTGGGCTCCCCGTTGGAATACCTGGGAGACGCGAGGCTGTGCGCCGAGACCCTCGGATGACCAGCCGACGCTAGCTCGCGGATCGCCGTAAAGAGATCCTGGCAGCTCTCCGAAACGGAGAGGCGACGGCACTCCGACAGGGAGGCGACGGCGCGCGGCCGTTTATTGTGGGCTCGACTGTCCGCCGCCCGGGCCTGCGAGCGCTGGCGCGGGTTAGAAAAGAAGAGATTCGGGCCACGGCTGGGGACGGGCAACACGAGGTCGGAAGGCCTGGCGGCACCGAACTCCCGCTGCGGAGGCTGGAGGCTCAAGCGGAAACCAGACCCACAGCGGCGCTCCTGAAGCTGGACCCAGAGGCCGCTGTCCCCTCCCTAGAGCGGACGCCCGCCATAGACGCCATGGCAGAGCAAGACGAGGTGGCCGCAGCGGCCCTCCTGGCCTGGCACGGACAACCAGCGAGACAGCTCTGGCGCGACGCGGGGCGGCGCTTCCACTCGCTTGATAGCGGAGGGGGGCTCGACCAGGGGGGGGGCACTTGTCGCCTGCTGCTTTCTCCGTGACGCAAAGGAAAGCCTCGGACAGGTTCGTTCCACGCGGCTCTTGGACCCTCAGGCGAAGCTCTACAGCTAATTACTTAGGCGACTCCTACCAGGTGGCGGACGCCGCCCTGGCCGCGCTCGCCCTGTCAGCCTTGCGGCAGGCACGCCGGCATCCCCCAGGCTGCGGCTCAACGCAACGAGCGGCCCCCTCCCGGTCTCCAGCTGGGCGCGCAATGCCCCCGGGGAGCCGGCGCACAGCCCCACCGAAGCAGGAAGGAAGCTGCCGGCACCCTGGGCGGAGCTGAAGACGCAGCAGAAGGCTGGACAAAACAAGCGGCGGCATCCCTCCCCCGCACCTAAGATGGCCCAGCAAGACAGCAGCCCTTGCGGATGGAGCTCGCCACGGACACCGCGACGCAGCAATGCGACCACCTGCTCACGGGCTGCTCGCGGGACCTCGCGGGACCTTGACACTGCGGCCAAGGAGCTCTTCTGCCTCCCGGCCAGGTAGCAGCGGCCCGGGCGCGCAGCTGGCCAGCACGCGCCGCCTCGCGGCCTTCCTGGCCTCCTGGACGGCGGCGGCGCTGGAGGTCAGGGAGGAGCAAGGCTGCGGGGCGCTGGCAGACAGCTTGGAACGGCTGCCGCGGGCGGGGCTCAGCAGCTGGCAACGGCGAGGCACGGACTGCGCTAGAGCTCACCGCGGGCGGGGACCTGGCGATCGCGCTGCAAACGCCCCCGAAGCAAGGTCTGGCCACTGAAGCGGCGCAAAGGAGACAGAGCGCAGCTTTGCTGCGACGCCTGCATCGCCCTCGACAGGCCGAGCTGAGGATCGCAGCAGGGAGCGGCAGCCAGGCTTTTCTCGCTTACCCGGGAGACTCTCTCTGCACGCTGGAGGGCGCCCTCGGGCAGACTGGCGCGCGGCGACGGCTGCAGCCCCCGCGAGCGGAGCTCTTCGCCGCAAGAGCTGGCGACGGCGGGGGCCGCGCGCTGCCTGCGCGGCGCCGGCGGACCTGGCTGCGCCGGGACGCTGGGCGAGCAGGGCCATGCCCTCGCCTGCCAAGTCGGCGGGGGCGCAGTGGCGCGCAACGGGGGACTCAACCGGAGAGTCGGCGGCCTCGTCCAGAGCTGGCGCTGCGAGAGGGTGCCGACCCAGGACAGCCACCACCAGGGCGGCCGCCTCGAACGTGCAATCCTGGACGTTGCATACCAAGACGACGACGGCCGGCGCTGGCTCGACGCCCCCGCGCGCCACCCTGCAGCCGGGGCCCGGGCTGAGCCGTTGGAGCCGCCGCTGGGGGCGAAACGCGCACTCCCGCCACCCCGGCTCCAAGCTGACGCCCTTTGTCCTCGAGACGGCAGGGCGGCTGGGGGCCGAGGCCCGACCCTGGTTGCTCGGGCAGGCGCGCCCGCTGCCCGAGGGCCAGCAGCCGCGGGAGTTGGCGCGGGCCCACGAGGTCCTGAGATGCGGCTTGCAGGCCGCCACGGCGCGCCAGCTCCGCAAGGCGGCTGGCCTGCGCTAGGCGGAGCCCGGCGGCCGGCACCCCGCGGCCGCCGCAGCGGGCACTGGAGACGCCGGCAGCGCGCCTGCGCGCCAGTTGCCGGACGCCCCAAACGACAGCGGAGGGGGCCGCCCAGGGCTCGCCGCTGGCCAGGCTTGGCGCCGCTGCCGGCCGGGCAGGGCGCCGGCGCCGGGCTCGCGGACAGCCACAACCTCTTCCTCGCCATCGCCCCGGCGCCCCCCAGGCAGCGCCGCTATAAACAATGTCCTGGAGGGGGCCGGAGCGAACGTCCCCGTGCAAGGAAGGGCGGCGCGGTTCCATGCAGGCGGCCCAGGGCGCCCTCGGGGGCGCCTCCCTGGTGGCCCCCTCCTGGGCCCCTAGCGCGGAGGTCACCCACGTCGGCCAGGGCTGCGCGGGCAAGGGAGTCAGGCGCGCGAGGAGCGGCGCGCCTGGTTCACTCTGGGGCGGCGCGAGATCGGAGCGGGTCGCGGTGCCCAGCCTCGTTGACGCTGGAATCGTCGGCGACCTTGGCGGGGGGGCCCGCCCCTGTCTCGCCCTGGTCGCCGGCGCCGGGACGGGATCCAGTCGCCCGCGGGCGGAGACTTGAGTCGTCAAAGGCCCTGGGCGGGTCACCACTAACCTTGCCGGCGGCAGCAGAGCGGGGCACACCGCTGCAAGCGCCAGGCGCGCACTATAGAACGATTCTCGCCCACCGGCACCGGCACCGGCACCGGCACCGGCACCGGCACCGGCACCGGCACCGGCACCGGCACCGGCACCGGCACCGGCACCGGCACTGGCGCCGGCACCGGCACCGGCACCGGCACCGGCACCGGCACCGGCACCGGCAACCGGCACCGGCACCGGCACCGGCACCGGCACCGGCACCGGCACCGGCACCGGCACCGGCACCGGCACCGGCACCGGCACCGGCACCGGCACCGGCACCGGCACCGGCACCAGCAC